GTCCCCTTCTTAGCCTTCCACAGTGTGACAGGCTCCTTGGGCATGTTCTTCCGTCCTGGGCCTTGGGTCCCTGGCTCCAGAGCCAGAGGAGGTAGGGGTAGGCTGCCTCCTTGGCAGGAGGTGCACCCTGGCTGATAGCAAGCACCTCACTTATCAGCCAGCCCCCTAGCAGACCTGTGTGGGCAGCTCTGGGACGACAGGAGTGAGGAGGAAATGGAGGCTGAGAGGGGAAAGGAGAGACCACATGTGCAGGCCTGGAAGTGGCTGAAGAAAAGAGAAAAGACTCCCTTGGGACTATGTCGTTGCCTTCCCTTAGAGACCTAAGCAGGTAATGAGCTAGGAGAGGTGATGGCCCCCATCCCCGATTGCCCCTGGGGGCATGTTCATTTTATTGATGGCTGCTGCCCACATGGCCGCATTAGCACCAGCATGTGAAGTCCGTCCTGCTCTCAGAGCTGGGAGCCAGCTGCCTTGGTTGGGCAGTTACATTTGGCCCCCTTCTCTTCCCGTGCTTGGCACAGGCCCCCTTTGATGAGAAGGGGAGAAAGTTTGAGGCAGGGATCACCAACCAATGCCCCTGTGCCTCTTCTCCCCCACCTGGGGGCACTGCCCAAGGCGAGCCCAGGCAAGAGTTGGCCATGCCACATGCCCCTGTGATGAGGTATGTGGCTTTCAGGAGGGCTGAAGGGATGGAGTCACAGACCTTTAAGATGTCATCGAAGACCTCAGTCCCTAGCCAACAGCAATCCCCGAGCAGCTAATGGGCCAGGAGAGGGGATGGTCCGCTTTCTGTGGTTGGAGTCGGTGGGTCCCCAGGCCTGGAAGTGAGGGAACCTCTGGTATGTCACTGATGGCCCTTGTTCATTGGCCAGCCCCTCTTGGCTTCTCCATCTATATACAGGTGAGTGGGGAGAGCTTCTTTAGGAAGTTCTTCCTTAGGTCAAACTCTATCTTCTGTACTGCAAATGCTTAGAGGGCCGCCCCAGGGAGGCCCATAGCTGGGGCTGGGGGTGTGGCAGGGGAAGGTGCCTGGCCTAGTGGCCCAGACCTCCCTGCTTCCCCGTACCCTCCCCCATCCTTCTCCTCCTGTCCCATCCCTAATTCCCACTGTGTCCTTGTTCCCTTCCGCCCCTCACTGCTACGTTGTCAACAGCTGCCTGTCCACTATTACCTCCTGCTCCCCTCTGGCACTCTCTGGCTTAAGAAACAAAGTCAAGAACAAGAAGCCTGCTCTCAGCCCATGCCCCACACACTCTTCATTTTCTTCTGGCTCATCACCCCTCCCTCATTTCTTGCCTTTAGCCCTCTTCAGCCCTCACTCTCCTCCCCTGAATGCTTTCTTCCCCTGGTCCTCAGCCACTGCCTATCACCAGGCATCTCCTCTCTGTGGGCCTGCAACTTCCACCCCTTCTCCCTTGTCTGCTTTCCCTCCTGCCACTTTTAGTGTGACTGTCATAGCCTCCTCTAGAAACAGCAACTCCTCAGCCCACCCATGAATTGAAGGAACCTCTGGCTGGGCCCCAGGTCCCCTCTCTTCTCTGTGTATTCACTCCTTCTCTGGCTGAGATCACAGACCCCCCCCAAGACTTTGGGGGCACCGTGGCAGGCTGAAATGCCCCCTGGGAGATGTGTAAGTCCTGAGCCCTGGAATGGGACTGAGACCTTATTTGGAAATAAGGACTTTGCAGATGTGATTAACTTACGGATCTTGAGATGGGGAGATCATCCTGAAATATCTGGGCAGGACCTAAATGCAGTGACAAGTGTCCTGGTAAGAGGGAGGCAGAAGGAAATTTGACAGAGACACAGAGCAGGAGGTTATGTGAAGATGGAGGCAAAGACTGGAGTGACGCAGCCACAAGTCAAGGGACACCTGAAGCCACCAACAGCTGGGAGAGGCAGGAAGGACTGTCCCCTAGAGCCTTCAGAGGGAGCATGGACCTGCTGACACCTTGATTTTGGACTTGTGGTCTCCAGAACCATGAAAGAATCAATCTCTGTTCGAAGCCACCAGCATTCGGTCCTTCGTTAGCCATTCCCCCCCCCCCCCCGAAACTGACACCAGCCTGGCCTGGCCGACCTGTGCCCCACCTCCCTTCAGATCTCCCAGATGCTGGATCTCAATAGATGATGGAAAGCCAGAGTGCTCTCCCAACAGCTCTGGGGGTGGTCCTTTGAGCACAGCTCCCTCTTGCGAGACTGGCTCCAGCCTCAGGGCACTACTTCCCTGTCCTGGCAGCCTTTGTGCAGTGGGCACTGGGGCTCTTCCCTGGTGATGGTGCCCCACGTGTCCAGGGTAGAGCTCAAGACTGGAGCCCGGAGCCCACAGGGACAGGGCCTAGAGACCACAGAGGGACTGGCAGTGGATGAACACTGCCCCCCAAATTCTCATAGCAGCCCCTCCACTGGCCCCTCAGGCTCTTCAAAGAGGGGTTGTCCCTCTGAGGTGCCCTGCCCCCATCCCTGGCTGTGGCCTTCAGACACCTGGCTGGCTGCCTCTCTGACAAGCCCTGACTCGTCTAAACCGAAGCAGTAGATTCGGCTTAGTCTCCAGCTGGGCCCTGCCACATCCAGAAGGCACCTGACCGGTAATAAGTACTCGGAAATGTCCCCCACCCCAGCCCTGGGTCATTCAGAGTCCGCTCCTTGGCGGCCTCTCCTTTCACGGGATTGCCCTCCCCAAGGGAGCTATTCCCATGACATTCATTGCCCTGTGTGTGCATGCGCATGTGTGCCGGCCCGGCGAGCCCTCTGGCTCAGACCCCTCCTCTGAGCTGCACCTGCACACCCATGACTCCTGGGGCGCTCCCAGCTCTCAGGTGGCATTCCTCCAGGGACCTCAGACCATGGGGGCATCACACTCTCAACCTGCCCACTCCTTCCTCTCACCCCATAAACAATTTGTCACCAAATCCAGGGGCTCCTACTCAGCCCAAGATCGGGCTGGAACCTGGCCCCTCCCCCACATTTTCTGCACTTTCTAAATGGGTCCCCCCTGAGCCCACTCAGCCATCTACAGCTCAGTGTGGCCATCCCAGCCCTCTGCAGCTTTGCCACCCTGAGGATTCCTGTGACCGAAGCTGGGCCCTGAGCTGCACCGGGAGGATGCCCTGCATGTCAGGAAGTGCATACGAACCTGTTCATGGAGCTGTTGTCTGGCAGGGGTAACCTTGCCGCTGCCGTGGGTATTTTTTTAAGCCCAATCATTTTCAACTTTTGTGTACATATTCCCTTTCTTCTTCCTATTGTTATTCATCAACTAATAGTTTGCAATACAATTGATATCAGAGTGAGGCTAAGTAATTTGTCTTTGATCAACTGCTCTGGTTGTGGAGCCCTCCCCTCCAACCAGGACCCACAAGCCCTGTCGGGGTGCGCCCTATTCACCTCCCTGGGCTCCTGCCTCAGGGCCAAGTATTACCCTGGGTGCCTCACAGCCTCTGGTATGGGCAAGGGGTGATTCCCACCTGCAGGGCAGTGTCCCCTCCTGTGAGGAGTGACCCACCAGACCTTCAGGATATATTCCCTGGGGTACAGCCTCAGGGTTCTCCTCTGTGCCTAACAGTGTTAACACTCTTGTTTCACTAGCTTGTTGTGGCACCTGTGTCCCTAGTGAGAGGGAGGCAGAGAGAAATGGCAGGAAGGCTGGGAGGGAGGGAGAGAGGAAGGGAGGGAGGGAGGGAGGGAGGGAGGGAGGGAGGGAAGGAGAGGAGACAGAGACCCACAGTAGGGAGGGGCTGTGTTGGACCCACACAATAAGGTCAGGTGCTCAAGGGTCAGGTGCCCAAGACCCGCCAACAGAGAAAGGGCCTGAGGGCCCCATGTTTCCGACTCCAGCACTGCCCCTCCTCCCAGCCAGCAAGGGGACTTGACCGAGGCCCTGACTCCTGGCCCCTGGCCAGTGCCCTTGCCCTGAGCCTGCCCAGCTCAGCAGAGATTGCTGGGCTGTGGAGCACATGGCCCAGAATAGTGCTATGATGCCGACGGGTGACATTCTATCGCTGGGCCACCTCTGTGAGCGGTACCTTCCATCCCCAAAAGGAGAAGCCTGGGAACACCGGGCATCCCGGTTCCAGGCCAGGTGGGAGGGCAGGTGGCTGTGTGCTCAGAGGCAGTGAGTGTGCTGCACCTCCGGCTCCTCTACTGGGCTGCCACTCCCAGTGGGCCCTGCCTGCTCTATTTTCGTGAGTGGCTTGTGGCTGTCCTGGGAAACCCCGGCTCTCCCCACTGGAGACTGAGGCCCCTCATGTGGGATGAAGAAAGAGCAGCCAGGTTCTAGCCCAGTGCCACCTCTGCCCTCTGGGCATGCCATCTGAGGGGGTATTGCTCTGGGGACTCTCCCCTCATGCTGCCTTTCCAGGGCAAACCTGTGTAGCCAGTGAGCAAGATTTCCAGGCTGTGCTCTGGATCCTCCCTGCAGCCTGGGCTTGGTGCTGCTGGCACACAGTGTGCCCTACAGGGTGGAGGTTGGACCAGGAACCTGGGCCAGGCCAGTTCAGGTGGGCACCCACAGCACACAGCACACAGCACGCTGCCCTGCCTGGGAGTGCACCCCCTGATGCTCACAGGAATCCATCAAGAGGGGCAGTGATGGGGTCCCCTAAGATTTCCTGGCTCCCCTGAGAGGAGGTCTAGCCGGGTGCTCTGCAGCCTGCAGCCGCTCGGCAAACGCTCGGCTCTGGGAGGACGAATACTACCTCGGTGGGCCTGCTTCAGGAGCCCGTCTCAGGACAGCTAGGGCAGCGGAAGGGCCTAGAAGTGAGAGGAAGGGGCCAGGCTGGGGCCTTCCACCTGGTCGCCAGGGCCTCCTTGTACAGCCCCATACCTGCTGAAGGCCAGGAAAGCAGCAAAGAGGAAGCCCCAGGCTTGAAGGGGGCACAGAGAAGCAGAGCTTGGGAGTTGGTCAGAGGCAGCCCCTCATGGTTCCCCTTTCTGCTCAGTCCCCAGTGCCACCCCAAGAACAGTGACAAACACAGCCATATTGCACAGTGTTCCTTTAATTGAAAAACAACAACTGATCTCAGAAGCAGCCCCTCCTCAAGCTGGGTGTGATTGCTCGAAACCCCACACCAAGGGCTGGAAGCGAGGCAGGAGGGTAGGGGAGACCAAGCCATCATGGGGGAAGGAGGGTAATGAAAAGCGTGCTTGGGACTCCAGTGGGATGCTGGGCCCCTCTCAGGGGCTGACTTCCAGAGTCTGACTGAGCCCAGTGCTTTCCCTCTTGACTAGAGCATGGGTGGGGTGCAGACCTCCACCTGCCTCCTCCAGGACCATCCAGGCTTGGGGGAGGGGCCTGGGCAGGGCAGGTGGGTGTGAGGGGCAGCTGCACCCCACCCGGCGGCTTGGGTAGGGGCTGGTCCGAGGCCTATTGTGACAGAGACTAGATCCACCTCAAGGATATAAGAGAGGAGAAGGAGAACAAGAGAGACAGAGAGAGAGGGAGAGGACTGGTCTAGGAGCCTGTAGAGTAAGGAGACTTGGATGGATGGGCCATGAACTTGCATAAAGGTGGGAAACCATTTGAGGCCAAGGGTAGCAGACCAGGCCAATGAGGGCTAGAAGCTGCAAGTTCACGTGAAGGAAGAATGTGCACCAGGCAGATGTAGTGGGCTCGAAGGGGTCTGCTGTCTTCATCCCTGCTCATCCCCTCCTGCTCCCCAGATCCAGGGACTGGTTTTCCTGGACTGCAGCTTCGGCCAATTTGGTTTCAGGGTGAAACAGAAGACAATTTAGTGGGGGCGCCTCTGAATGGCTGTGATGGGGGGAGGGTCAGCTCTGAAGCCAAGGGGACACTTGATGGGGTCTGGGCCTCCTGCCCCACCTACACGCTTGGGAACCAGGGTGAAGGTGTCAGGGGCAGCAAGTGGGGCCTGGGGATCAGGGGTGGGGCTGGGTTGGGTGTAGCTGGGCACTGGCTTCCCTCCCTTGCTCTGCCACCCCCTTCAGGACATTCGCTGTGCTCCTCAGAGACCCAGCCCAGGCCACCACAAGCCTGTTGCTGCCTCTACTTTTTGTAGTTGCCAAACTGGATGGCCAGGCGGTCGGTGACACAGCGGAAGGTGGCTGGCTGCACCTCCCAGTAAGGCACAGGGTTGTTGAAGAGGCTGATGCCATTGTAGTAGGCCCGCTTGACTCCGAAGCCCATGGGGCAGAAGTCGTTGACACCCACCTTGGTGATGTTGTTGGTGTGCAGGTAGACCACCTGGGACAGAGGGGAGTGGCCTAGGTTCAGTGCCAGTGGCCCAGGCCCCTCAACCACCTTTCCTGAGTCTTGCCTGGTGGCCACCCAGGAATCACTTCATTGCATTGCATCCACTGGAAGGAGCGAACCAAGGCTTGAGTACGTGGTCAGGCAGGTGTGTGACCAGGGGCTGGGATGAGGGGCTCAGGGGTGTGTGTGGTGGGTGGGAGTCTAGGGGCACATGGGGGAAAGGGTATGGGGTGGGGGTATCCATGCAGGAAAGATGGCACCTTGGGCTCATAGAGGGCCCCTGGCATCCCCTCTGGATTTTCCGAACTCCCTCTGGGCCTGCCCTTCGGCCTCTCACTCCAGGGACCCAGGGGCATGAGAAGAGAAAAAACCTTCAGGGCGATTTCCTTTTCCTCCCAGTCGTCAGGGGCACTTGCCTTCTATCAGCCTCCCCGAACCCCCTGAAGCCCCTCTCTAGGGGAGGGGCAGAGCGGACAGAAGCGTGAGTGGGTAAGAAGTCCGATGATGGGGGGTAGGGGATGAGGCGCTCATCCGCAACATCGCCCTCTAGAGGCGGAGAGTAACCAGCCACTAGAGGGCGCACTCATCCCAGCACTGCCTGCGCTGCTGCTGCTGCAGCTGGGCTGCCCAGCACGCAGGGCTCCACTGGACTCGGCTCTGGTTGGACAGCCTGTGGGAATGGCGGGTCTCCCTGCACGTGTGAATGAGGCTGAGGAAGACACTGAGGGGGCAGAGCAGGGCTGGGCAAGACCAAGTTCACCCGTGTGACTGGAAATCAAGCCAGGGAAGGGGCCCTTAAGAGAACTCCAGGCAAGGCCCTGCACTACTCCCATATCAGCCCACTTTCTGTCCTGGGCTGTCCCTATTTTGGCACATATTTGTACATCCCCATGCCCTCACTGTTCCCCGATCTCCCAGGCCCTAACCTCTTAGGAGACCTTCAGCCCCAATATCTACCAGACCACCTCCTGCTTATCCCTCACAACCTCTCTCCACCCCTGCCCCACCTTCTTGCTGTCCTGCTTTCCTCCTCCTGTTCCTCAGCACAGACCATTGGCCCTGAAGGAGGGGCTCCCGTGACTGCCTTCCCCGATGAGGAGAGAGGCAGAGAGAGCAGGAGTTCCTGTTCCATTCTCTGCTAGGGTGCGCATGACGGGCAGGGGGCCAAGAAGCTGCCCTGGGACATGGGCTGCTCCCCTTAGAGAACTTGCTACTGGGGATTGCCCCCCCCCCCCCAGCTCTCACCTGGAGTAGCTTGAGATCTGGAAGGCCAGCAGGCACCTTGGACAGCTTGTTATTGTCCAAGTGCAGCTCCCTCAGGGTGGGCAGAAAACTCAGGCTTCCGTTCTCTATCATGCGAATCTGGTTGTGGCCCAGGCCCAGCCTACAAAGGGATGGATGAGGTGTAATGAGAAGCCAGAGAAGAAGAGGCTTGAGGGGCGAGTCACCACCCTTGGCCCCCAGCCCACCTGTATAGTTTGGAATAGCGGAGCAGATCCTCCAGCTCAATAGCCTGGATTTTGTTGTGGTCCAGATGGAGTTCATTCAGGGTCTCAGGGAGGTCTGCCGGAGGAAACAGGGTGCTTTGAGATGAATGCAGGAGTGTGTGGGCTGGTGCGGTGTGTGTGTGTGTGTGTGTGTGTGTGTGTGTGTGCAGGGGGACTGCTAAAGCCCTCCCAAAAGAGACCAGGTGGCCCCAGAAGCCTCTGGACCCCAGCTCTGCCCACTGTGGGAAGAAAGGGCTATCTTCTTACCTTTAGGGATGCCGGTCAGCTTGGCTTCGGAGATGCGCAGGTAGTTGAGCTTCAGGCCATCGAAGGCTCCAGGTTCAAAGCCACTGTTTTCCAGGGGATTCCCGCCCATCTCTAGGAGAGAGGCCCCCTCAGCCCTGGAGCCAGAGCTGAGCTGCTGCTTGTACACCCCAGGGCCTGTTGGCTTCCTGGCTTGGGCTAGCCTGATGGACCCTATTAATTGCTCACTCCCCTAACTCCCCCTGAAAGCAGCCACTAATTTATGGGGCAAATTACAAACTCCCATTTGTTCAAGAACACTAGCCCCCAAGGGCACTAGCCCTGGCACTGGCTTCAGGGGGCAGAGGGAGCAGTAGGAAAGTGAGAGCCCATGGCAGGCCCCAGCCGGCTGTCTGGTGGCATAGGCCCTCTCCCTTCCCTCTCTCTGCAGTCCCCTGGTCTTTCTTCACCTTGCTTCGGCCACTCCGGGGTATGCCCTTAGACAAGGCTCCGGAACATTTTGTGAGACCCATTCTGGCTGGAAGAGGTCCCTCTCCCTTACCTTTCCTATCAGCCACCTGGGTGAGGACTGTCCCAGGCCAGGGTCACACTTACCAATGCAGTTCATGTTGCGCAGCCCACTGAACACACCCTTGGGCACCTTGCGGATGCGGTTATCATGAATGCGGAGCTCCACCAGGGAGCTAGGCAGGTTGGGAGGAATCTCCACCAGGTGGTTCTTGGAGATGTAGAGCTTCTGCAGCTTCCACAGGGGGCTGAAGGCCTTCTCATGTATCTTAGAGATCTTGTTGTTCACCAGGACGAGAGCCTGAGGTAGGGTGGGCATTGGAGGTGAAGGCACCAGCTCCCCAGCCCCCCCTGCCCTCTCCTCTCTCTCCCTCCTCTGCCACCTGAGCCGGAGATTATTGGGATTTCACAGGTGTCTGAGTCCCAGCTGGGCCTCAAGGAGATGGTTTGCTCGTGGGCAAAGTGCAGCGCGGGAGCCAGCAATCAGGCCCAGTGACGCCACTACTGCCTAGCGCAGCCCAGCGCTTCCCTGAGCCTGTTTCCCCACTTGCATGCTGGCTACAATGAAATATGTTCTTGGAAAGAACCAATAAAATGAAAAATGTTTCCAGCCGAAAAGGGAATTAAGCTAAGTGATCTCGTCCTGCGCTTATGGTTGCTGACACCCACACCCGTGACCCTGACCCTGGGCACTCCCTCCATTTCCACCTCCAAACTTCTCTCAGGACCCCACAGTTCCCTGGTTCCTCTTGCACTCCGCAAGTGCATGCCCATGCCCATCTGGACCCAACTGCCCAGCTGCAGACTGCCCACCTCCTTTGGGCCCCTTGAAAGGGCCGGGGTGGGCTTACGTAGAGGTGCTGGAGGCCTTTGAAGTCATCCTTCCGGAGCTCAGTGATGTCGTTGTTCTGCAGGTCCAGCAGTGTGGTGTCAGGTGAGATCTCTTTGGGCACAGTCTTCAGACCTGGGAGCCAGCGCCACTATCACCAATGTGAGCCCAGGTCATGCCCCAGACAGGCTCAGAGCACGGGGACACACACACAGAGCCACGCGCCCAGGGACTGCCACAGACAGGCGAAAACTCCAGAGCTGGCAGACAGAAGCTCTTCTCGCTCCCCACTCGCTTGCAACCAGACAACTGGACACCCTCTCACACTGAAATCAGGATCCTCGAGCCTGCTCAGGGTCACCCCATCTATGTTCTCATCTTTCCACACCCATGCCACAGGACAGACATGTGCCCCCTGGATAGGAGCACTCAGGCTGTGCCTGTGCTGCCACATACCCCTCCCACCACAGCCCCATGACTGACCCAGGTCAGAGCACTGAACAACCCGAAGGTGGCAGTGGCAGCCGAAGGGACACATGGCGCTGAAGGTGGGTGTGAGGGAGTCCAGGTCCGGGACGCCTGAGGTTGTGTCGGCACCCGAAGCCTCCTCATCATTCAGCATGGGCAGTCCATCATCCAGGGTGAAGTCCCAGAAGCCCTTCTGCTCAAAGGGCAGGGCCTGGCTCAAGGTCAGTAGGGACGTGAGGAACCAGAGGGGCCACATGGTGGGCATGCCTAGGAGGCCAGGGTGAGAAGGGGCCATCAGGAGGGCCTAGCCAGTATCCGCCCCATCCTCTCGGCCCTTTCCCAGCCACCCTCCCAACACCAGGGACTGGGGCTCTGCATGTGTTGGCATCTTGTTCTCCATCCATCACTGGGGCACAAGCAGCAGAGAGAGGGGATGTGGGCAGCCAGGAGGCACCTGGCAGGATGGGGGCACCACTTCCCATTCCCCTCTGCTCCCAGGCAAGACCTGGCTTCAGTGGGAAATGAAGTGTCTTCCCAGCTAGGGAGTCTGCAGCCCCCACCCACCCCCACACATCACTGAGTCAGCTGGCAGTTGCCTGGGGGGTCAGTGAGGCTAGTGGAGGAGGCAGAGAGAGAAACCCAATCATTTGCCCCCCCCCCACGCTTTGAAGATACCACTGTGGCCCCTGGCCAATCCCACATGTTCAAGGCAACGTGGGCGCAGTTGGGGTTGAGTTAAGGGATTATGAGTCACTTCCTTTTCTGCCTGAGCCCCCCACCTTGCAGCACACCCACATTTTTTTTACGAAAATCAAGAGGCCAAGGCACCAGGCTGGGCACGCTGGGCCAAGACCTGGGCTAGTTCCGGAGGCAAAGAGGGTCTAATACAATGAGCAAAATCACAGAGGTAGCAGGGGCACAGTCCCGTGGCCACTTCGTGTCTGCTCTTTGGGGCCTCGGCTTTCTCCCCTGGCTGGGCATACAGAGTCCTGGGACTCCCACTCTTCCTTCTGCCCTTCCTTCTGCCTAGGGCCCAGCCCCCTGGAGAGGCCCCCCCCAGGGCAGCAAACTGCCACCAGGGTGATGAGCAGGGTCAGGCGTGTGTGGAGACCACCCTGGCTGGGCTGCGAGGTGGGGGTGGGGAAGCTTCCCTGCCTGAGCCTGCCCCTGGCACCCATATCTGCCTGCCTCCTTCTTCCTCCAGCAGAGGCCGCCCCCAGTCAGAGCACTCCTCTGCCCAAAGGCTCTGTACAGGAAACAGCCAGAGCCCCTCCCTCTCCCATCACCCTTCACCTACAAGGATTTCCTGGGAAAGTCCCAGCCTGATTTTCCCTGTCTGTTAAACAGGCATCAGAGTGCCCACCCTGCTTGCCTCACGGATCTGGGGGGGCGGGGGGGCAGCGTGAGGCTGCCCTGGCTGCATCTGCGGGCAATGAGCCTAGCTGACTGCCAGGGCCTCCTGCAGACCCAAATTGGCCCCGCTCCAGGGAGACCCTCACTTGGGGCCCATCTTGGCCAGGGAAGGGGTTGTTTGGGGCATTAGTGGGGCTGGGTTAGTTCCCTGAGCCTGACTGCTAGCTGCAGAAGTGGAAGAGAGACCCTGGGGGGGCAGCGCTCTGCCCACTCTGGGCCAGCACCTTCGGAAGAGCTTGTCCCTGCCTGCTGCTTTCCTGGGGCCACCTCCAGGCCTGGGCACACAGCTCTGCCCCTCAGATTCTCATCCATCCCTGTCTTGCTGTCCCCTCTGGTACTCATCCTGCCCCCCTTCCTGCCAAAGGTCCTATGGCTTTCCCTGGCTCCCACCATCCCTGAGGACAGAGCTTCGGGAGGGGATGGCAGGAGGACCCAGGACATGGTTCAACTGACTAAGCTGCAGAGTCATCCTCAGAGAGGCCCTAGCAGGAGCCAACAGCCCTTCTGAGTGCATGATCTGCGGTGATAGGCTCAGAGAAGCTATCTGCCTACTCCAAGTCACACAGCAAAGTGAAGATCCCCCACGTTGGGGCAGCATCCAGCCTCCCTGGCTTCCGCCAGGTTCTGCCAGTTCCAGGCTGGCCATGCAGGACTCAGGGGACCCCCAGAAGGCCTTGGCACAGAGTAGGGAGAAGGCCCGGGGCTTGCCTACCTGGACAGCAGCTCCTTCCTTCTTCCCTTGAGTTTGCAACTCTCAGGACAGAGCAGCGTGGGTCTAGGCCTCCCGTCCCCGTTGTTACTACTCAGGGCCCTTGCCCAGGGTTCACTGGATGCCCAGGGCTGAGAGGAGGAGGAGCAGTGGGAGAGAAGAGGAAGGGGAGGATGAAGGCAGGAGAGCAAGATGGAATGGGAGAGAGGGAGGAGACTGCTCCCCCTTTGTCTGGCACCCCTGCCAAAGCCGCTACCTCACAGCGGGGATGAGTCAGGGCTGGAATGCCCAGCAGGAGCCTTGGAATTCTCTGGGATCCATAGTCCACCTGGATAGGTTGGGGTGGGGTGGGGTGGTCTGGCCAGGCCCAGGAGAGACTGTGGGAGAGGTGGGTGCAGACAGGCCCCGTACAGCCTGCTGGAGCTGGAGAGGGCTGGGGATGTACACAGGGTACATCTGCCCTGGTGTCTGACCCCTCCACCAGGGCAGAGGATGGACAGGCACGTGGAAGGCCAACCAAGTGGTCTCACGGGACCCGCCCTAGGAGGACGGGGGCTCTAGAGGAGTTGAGACAGCTCAAAGCAAACCACGCCTGATGTCACTGCATCCTTGGGCCAGCCTGGCTCCAGTGCAAACTCACTCTGAGGGGAAGGGAGGCTGAGAGCTTGGAGGCTCTACACCAGAACCCCATGACAGAGGCAGAGGACAAGGTTTGGCTGGTTCTCCCCGGTTCCTGGCTGGGTCCAGGCAGTGGGCAGGCTGGCGGGGTGGAGGCTGGGCGGGCTTCCCGGCACAGCCCTCATTTCCCCTCGAGGAACTGGCACAAGACTCAGCCAGAACTATGCAGAGAGGAGGGGGCCGGCTGGACACCAAGCCTGCAAGGGGCGGCGAGAGACCTCCACAGAACCAGAAGGGGCCAGGAAGGGGCCTAAGGGGATGCCTAAGAGGAAGGCTTCCCTGCATCTAGCGCAATTAGCACCTCCATTTTCTGGAAGAGAAAACTGAGGCCGAGAAAGAGGAATAGATTTCCCCCAAGTCACTCAGCCTGAGACTTGGAGTCCAGCTTGGGCAACTCCAGGCCCTGAGCTTTCAGACCCCAGCCGCATTTCTCAGCACAGTGTGGGGGTAATGGGGGTATCTGGCTGGCTGGCTCAACGTGGGCAGTCCAGAGAGTCTGGGGGAGGAATTTGAGGCTGGTGATGGTCAGGGTGGGGGGCTGTAGGGCTATAGCCAGGCCCAGCTGCCCCACTTTAAGCATGGCCCTGCCTTTGCCCCACTACCTCACACTGGGCCCCCCTTTCAGGAACACACACGCATAGAAGGCAGGAGGGCCAAAGCCCAGGAAGTGGGAGCCCCCCATGGACAGATACTGTGAGACCCACAACAAGTCCCCCCCCAGCACCACCTTCCCACACTACCTGGCCCTTTGGTCCTCAGTTTCCCTTCATTGGCCTCCCCAGGCATGGCCCCAAGGACTTCAGGGAGGGCCTCAAGCCCCATCAAAGTGCGCTCTGAGCTCGCTGGACTCACCTCCTCAGAGCAAAGGAAAGAAGTGGTAATGGCCGTGAGGCCTTAGGCCTGGCACCCACAGGTGTGAACCAGGGAAGAGGCCAGGCTTCCTGGAGCCTGCGCCTCCGACCCAATAAGGGCCCTTCTTGTCTGGCCCTCTGAAAGTCAGAGCAGTCCTCCGAGAAGAATTGCTCCAGGTCACAGCCAAACAAGACACATTGGCAGCCTCTGAGAACATGGAGGGGCTGTGCCAGGCATTCAGGCCAGGCCAAGGGTGGCAGGAGCAGGACTTGAGGTCTGGCACGCAGTGGGAGCTCCTCGGCAGATGTGGGGCTCACAACTGCCAAGTCATAGATGCCGGGTGCTGTCCCTCGGCCTCAGCCCAAGGTGTCTGGCCCCACTGAGCCAACCGACGTGAATTCTGACACTGGTGCCATCTTCCCCTCAGCCCTGCCAGGTCCCTGGGACTAAGTGGGTGAGGTGGGGGTATGAGGGAGACAGGCAATTCAGGGTGTACTTCCTCCCCACCTCAACCCATTCACCAAACTGTCTGGGCCCAGCTTCAACCAGCAGGCAAGAGGCAGGGATGCTGCCCAGGCTGATCCTCGGCTGCTCCCTACTGCCTTTTCAGGCCCCAGCTCATCGGCCCCCTCACAGTTCTAGTTTGCACTTGGATGTTAACCAGAGAGAGGAAACATGTGCCACCCATGAGTCTGCTGAAGCCTACATGTGTGTGCATGTGGGGGCAACTGTGTGAAGGGCTGGTGGTTGGAGTGGAGGGGGGTTGGTCCTGAGCCCCACCCTGTCTGTGTCTGCACCCCGGCCACCCTGAACTCACCGCCGTTGTCTTAGCTTGCCCTTCAGGCTACAAGAGGAGCAGATGCCCAAGTTCGGTTTGCCAGGGCAGCTCCTTCCTGCTGTGGCCCTGGCGTTGCTGGGGTGACTGGACAGGTCTTTAGGGACAGACTCGACATGGACATGGGTGTCAGAGTCTGCAGGAAGCCAGCCCATTGACTGCAAAGGGCTGGCACCAGGAAGGTGGTAAGGCAGCTGGTGCTGGCCAAACCAGACTTCCCTCGCCACAACATCGAGGAGAGCCATCCACGCCTGCCCCCACCCTGCCAGGAAACCTCTGGAAAGCAAGAAGGTCAACCTGCTGGCCGTCTGCCATGCCAGGAGTCAGGTAGCAGATAACCTGGGTCAGCTGGGGGTCCTGAGTTTCCTGGTCCTTTTGCATCTAAGCTGTGTATCCTTCTTCCCACTCACTGAGCTCTTCACCACGTCCTAGAATCTTTGAGGAAGAGGGAGGACGCAGCAGGAAACTCAAATGATTTCCCAATGACCTTAAGAAGAAAGCACCATTTTTTACTACTTGATGAATGGGTAAGCTGAGGCTCAGAGTTTACCCAAAGGCACACAGCAAGGACATGGTAGAGCTGGGACTCCACTGTCTGTCTGTCTGTCTGTCTATGGACCATGTGTCTGGCCCCATCCTCTGCCAGCAATTACAGAGTTTGTTGCAGGCCCCAAAGCCACACGATCCTATGCTCTCTGGGCTGTGAAGGGGCTGGATCAGCCCCTGGGGTCCCTGGAGAAGACTGCTTGGCAGCTCCCTCACCCCAGCTGGGAAGCACAGCCCTGCTCTGTGGCTCCTATGCCCCCTTTCTTGCATCATGAATCCTTTGGAAACAGCACCTCTCTCTGGCTGCCACCAGCAATAGCTCCCCACTGCCCGAGGGGCCTACTTCCTTGGTTGATGGGTCTGGTGGCAATGTTTTGGCTCAAGTGTGCCCACAAAGCCAGCTCTGCCTCTATCTGCAAGGAAGTCGCCTGGAAAAGCCATCATCCTGGCAAGCCAGGGAAGTTCCCCTGAGCATTTTAGGTCCCAGCAGGCGCCAGACCCCCCAGGGCGATGCTCTTAGTCTGGCTACTGGAGCCTGGGGCCCTGCCTGCCTCATTTCCTCATTAAGCCAGGCCTAGGCAAGGGAGCTTGGCCTGGCTCCCAGGGGAGGAGAGCTTCCAGGCACCCTGGAGGGAGGCTCTGTAGCCCCTTCCCTTCCTGGGCCCAGGGGTTCCTGCAGCCCCTTCCTTGCACAGGGTCCCAGCTCTTCCAGGGGCTCTGGCAGAGGTGGGACCCAGCCCTCGGCAGCCAGCACAGAGGCTCCAGGACCAGTTCACCTTCTGCCTCTCCCAGGGTTCCCATTCTACAGACTCTTTGTAGCTGGAAGGCGTCTAAGGCCCAAGGGACCATAATGAAGGCTGAGCTGGGACTCAGACTTCGAAGAGGATCAAAGTCACACTCTCCTCTGCCTATAGGACTTCCCTTGTCTCCAGGGACAGGGCTGCCAGAGCAAGCCTCTCTCTGACTTCTGCCCATCTCCTTCAAGCCTGACTTCTATTCCCTAAATCCCCAATCCTTTGGCCAAATGGGCCTCTGACTGCTGTATCCCCATTGGCCATCTGACCTTCCAGAAGCAACTGGTAGGGGAGAAGCAGGGATGAGTTCAGAGTCACAGAGTCTGGGACCTCTCCCATCCCACTACCCCCTAAACCTGAGAGATGTGTCACCACAGGGAGGGGGCAGATGGGAGTCATCTGAGGCCCAGAACCTTCACTGGGCTCAGGAACGTCAGCGATGCTGGTGCCCTCCACGGTCACTCCAGGAGATACCCCTACCCAGAGCAGAGAGGGTAGGGGACTTTCAGGAGCCTGGAGTCCCAGTGGGAATGATGGATGCCCTAGGACCCTTGGGCTGTGTGCTACAAGTGAGGGAAGGGCCTTCACTCCAGGACCGGACATTTGGAAGGTGGGGAGCTGGTCTGAAAGGCTGGAGAAGGACCTAGCCATAGGGCTGGCCAGTTACCCTCAGTGGGCCTTGGGCCTGGGGCAGGACTGAGCAGACATCGTCCCCATCCCCCCAGCACAGCCCCCTCTGCTCACCCCCCACAGGCTCCCTCTAAGACGGGATTTACACAAAGGGTTCTGTGGGTGGCCCAGTGTGTGAGCAGAGGAGGACAGGAGGGTGGGGAGGGGGCAGAGCTGGAAGGTTTATGTGCCTTCAGAGGGAGCAGGGGCTCACCTTTACTCTACGGCTCACAGCAGGGTACTCAGGAGAGCCACTGTCACCTCCCAGCCCCTCAATTTGAGGCAAGTCTTGGGCTAATGTGTCGCCTCCCACCAGCAGGGCAGGCAGGCGTGGGGTGTAGCAGCCCGGGGCAGGAGTAGCAGGAGGAAGGCTTGGTGGGTTATGGAAGGCCTCTTTAACGATCAGGATGAACAAGGACGGTGAGGGGCCCTGGATGTGCCACCTGCAGTACCAACAGCCCAGTGGCCCAGTGGGTGGGGCTTCCGAGGCCAGGATGCTGGTAGGAGGAAAGGGAAGCCCCCTTGGAAGGTCCTGCTTGCAGACCCTTGAGTTCAGGCTCATTAAAACACCCTCCTCTGGGGACTTGACGCTGGCACTGGGAGAGACACTGGTTCTGAGTGAATGCAGAATCTTGCTGAAGAAAGGAAACTCTTTCTTGTCTTACAAAGAGCCCCTTTCTTCCTACCCTTCCCTGTTCACGCTCCTCCAGTGGGTCAGGGCCACTGGTAGGACTGGGAAAAATTTGGACTGAT